ATCCAAATTATTTCATGATGCTCACAACATTGTAGATCTCCAATGGTTTCATATTTTATATTGTCCTTTAGGTAGATACAGACTCCTCCGTGTTCGTGCGAGGTACGATCTTTCCGAATCACATTGTAGCCTTCAATATTCACCACCGTGTCGTCTATGTGATTTTTCAGCCAGGTTTCGACTATACATGCAATTTCGACATTTAGCCGTAAAAACAGTTCTTGTATTTCAATCAGCTTTGGGACCAGAGACATAGTATTTGACAGCATAATGTTAGGAACGAAGCTTGTTTGATTCTCAAATGTTTTCTGGGTTTCAGCTACAGGAATAACAACTAAATTATTCGTATTTACTCCCCGAAAATCGTTGTAGTTTGAATAAATTTTCCGTGGTTGAGCTATCACGGGAATATTTAACTTTCTCGCTGCCTCCTTTATTTTAGTTTTAAACCCAGCTCTTCTGCCTCTAGGAAGCCAATTTCGATTAAGTCCATTGTTACAATGATATCTGAAAGTTCCAGATGTATTCATTGTTATAGAAAACAGACTTGAGTTACTAGAGTTATCAGTCGATTTACACAAACAATATGGCTACGCTTGACCAACTTCAGCAGCGTCTGAGATAAAACTTCCAACATATATCCTTAAATAGATCACCAACAACTCCACTATATACATCACGTTCCCAGCTCGAAATGGATCATTTATTAAGTTGGAGCACCGTTAGATTGTTTATAGAAACATTTAAAATTTATAAAATACAGAGCAACTTTAAAAGCTTGCAGCCATGACGGCGCTTACATTTCTTTATGTTTGTTGCCAGATGTGGTTAAGGGGATGTGGTTTTGCCTTGCTAACAACTTTTTCACGGTGTCTTCTGGTAAAGTGGCTATGGGGCATCCTTTAAAGAGTGCAACTGTGCCGAGAAAACCAGTTTCACAGGTTTGCATGGGAGTTGTCAAGGGTGAAAAAAAAGCGAAAAGACAAATTTGAATCAAAATTTCATGAGAGTTTTCCATCTTATAGAAAACTATCTCTAGAAAATTTACAAGACGGACAGTGAATAATGAACAATATTTTACAATTCAGTATGATATATCTAGTAAAGATATGCAGGGTTTGAATTAACAGTGCAATGTGCAATTTGACATCGTTCTGGATCAAATAGTGAAAATTGCACATCACTTTTCCAAACGATGTGCAAAAAAATCAGACTTGGGACTATTAATGAACACCCATCTATATTTATAGATTTAAACAAAGCCAATCTGTTGTCTTTTAATTTATAGTGTGTTTGCATGCACACCAGGGCCTTTTTTAAGGATTTTCCCGTGGGGGGGCATTTTTTGAAAAGGGACTTTTCTGTGAGATTATATATTAGAGGGGGATAGCAATGGCTGAAGGCTACGTATGTGGCCAATATACCACACATGAATGGGGGTGGTCCCCAGAAAATTTTTGAAATTTGAATCCCGGAAATGTCATTTCCTGCATTCTGAGCATCCAAATTTGCTCCAAAATTTATGCTAACTATACTTGTATATTTTGAAATAAATAGAGGAAAAAACGCACAAAAAGTAAAAAAAAAATTAACCATCATTTATTGTTACTTATTAGAGGAGGATGGCAATGGTCAGGTGTGTGGGGGTGTGCTCCCCCAGAAAATTTTTGAAATTTGAAGCACGAAAATGCCATTTCCTGCATTCTGAGCATCCAAATTTGCTCTAAAATTTATGCTAACTATACTTGTATTTGAAATAAAAGATGGAAAAAATGCACAAAAAGTAAAAAAGAATATTAACTGTAATTTATCATTACTTATTAGAGGGATAATCCCCAGAAAATTTTTGAAATTTGAAACCCGGAAATGCTATTTCCTGCATTCTGAGCATCCAAAAAATAAAAAATTATTAACAATAATGTATCATTACTTAGTGGTAGAAAAAAGTAACAATTTAAATCGATTTTGTTAAACAAGGACAAAGGATAAAGCCTAAAACTTACTTTCCGTTTATGTATTTGTTAATCTTCGCTGGTTCGTTTCTATAATTTTAGGGAAAAGGGACTTTTCCTGGGGGGGCAAAATGTTATTTCGTGGGGGGGCACACGGGGGACTGGGGGGGCATTTGCCCCCCCCCCCCAGCTTGTATGTTAAAAAAGGCCCTGATGCACACTAGCAGCATGTTTGCAGACTGGGAGGTGTAAAATTTTAGTCACCATGACAGACAAACACATGGCTGATCAATGTTATGTGTTAGGTTTGAATATCAATGATTGCAAACAATGTTTAAAAAGTATTCGAATAATTAAATTTGACAGTTTGATTAGAACCACACACTAATTCGAACCCTGAACATATATATGATGCCTATTCATAAGTCGGAAAGTATGATAATGGGAACAATGATGATTAATAATTTCTATTGTACTTCAATCTAGTTTCCACTTTCCAAACCATGTATTCTATTCACTGAGGTATGAGGCTGGTTCACAAGCCTAGGAAATACTGGGTACTAACAAATAACAACTAGGGCCAGGCCAAAAAATATTGTGGGTTTCTATTTCTACTTTAAACTAGGTGGGGTAAGTCGGTTTAATCTTTTTTCTAAACTTTCTTCATTGATCAACAGATCAGCTGCCATATTTGTACCTTTTTTAACCCATTGAGCTGCAATGCACCTTACTTATGTTTTTTTTACTTGTCTAACGCCAGGCGATTTTACTCGTCAATGGGAAAGCTCTGCAGCTTAATGGGTTAACCAAAAAATCTGACAATGTCTCTAGTTAACCCATTCAGCCGCAATGCGCCTAGACTTTCCAAAGTCCTTTCCAGACCCCTCTATGGCGCGCTTCACTTCCTCTGTGGAAAGGACTTTTGTCACTTGCAGCGCGCCAAATATCACCGGTGGAAAAATCCACCGGTGACGTCATTGTTTACATTGAAGGCCGAAGCGGTTTAAATTTATTGATCATTATCGAAGGAGTCTAAAATAACATTATATTCTCATGCAGGCTTTTTTGTTGAACAAACATTTATTATTAAAGCAAACAGAGTAAACAACGTAAATACAATTTTGTAGAACACAAAAACCATGTGAAAATACACAAACGGCAAACATTAAATTGACTATGAGTACATGCAGCCTACAGGGTGTAGAAATAAACTTTAATACTGTCACCGAAAATGCATGCATCTGATGATTCTAAAATCTCGTTGATCACAATCGCCGCCTCTCTGCTTCTGGGTTACAGATGCCTGATTCTTTTCAATTAGATTAACTTCTACTACGTTAAATCGCTCGCGAACTTAATCAAATTTCTTTAATAAGTCTAATAAATTACTATTCTTGTCGACACAATTACGGCACACATTGTTAGACAAAACAACTGTCTAGGTTCAATAAGTTTTTACATGCACTTGTTTTTGTTGATACATTAATAGCTTTCGGAGCTTACTTGGGTCAGTTATTTCGTTTCCACACTCGGTGCAAGCTGTTTCATTCGAGGACAAAGAAATGTCAGTTCTTGAGAATGTTTTTGTAGACCCATTGACGGCGCGCGGTGAAGCAATTGTATGAAATGTACACACCCTATTTATATGTCAAAATTATTCGCGCCAAAATTTTTAATGCGATTTAAATTCCTGCAAGCGACACAAGTCGACCACTCGCGACTTTGTCGCTCGGGTTGTGTGCTCCCTCCCCCGCGCCCTCCCTCCCCCATGGTCGACTTGTAGCAAGTCTACAATGCGCCCTACTTTTTTTACTTGTCTAACACCAGACGTCATTTCACTCGTCATTTCACTCATCAATGGGGAAGCTCTGCAGCTTAATGGGCTAATGTGTGTTTCTGCAGACCAGAGAAATTTCCAGTCAGATTTTTTTCAAAATTTCATTCATAAAAAGTTACTTAAGGGTTGGGATTTCATGTCCGAATGATAGGTATAGTACAATAGGTATAATCAGGAAACCTGAAACCCACATATTTTTTATTTGGTCTTACAGCCTTAAAAAAATTTGTATTTCTCTGTTCCTTACCAAGTTTGCTTTTTTCCCAAGTGTAATAAATGTTGTTGTAAATCTGTTGTCCACTGCACAGATATTTTTCATTAAAACTTCATTGATGGTAAGGTGTTGCACAAATTTAATTGAGTCTGTGTCATTTTTAAAAGCATTTTTTCCAAAGCCATAATGAGGAATTAGGTGAAATCCATTTCTTCAAGACAAAGACATGTGTTGATGGTTTCCATGGTGTAATCCTTGGGTAATGGTGGTGTTGTAAGACAATTGTCACATGATCCATTACAGTTTACATCAAATCCATCATCAAAGTATTCTAGGATGAGCTTTCTTCGGCATATTGATGACATACAGTAAGACACAACTCTGTTCAATGAATGTGTCTGGAATTCCATGTGATCTTCAGATGTTGATTTGTAAATTAGCTGGATCAGTTTATTTCTGTCCTCAAACCGAAACATGAGAATACAATGTGAGGTGTTTCCATCACGACCAGCTCTCCCAGCTTCTTGATAGTATTCTTCAAGTGACCTAGGTAAGCTAAGGTGGATCACAAAACGGACATCAGGTTTATCTATGCCCATTCCGAAAGCACTTGTAGCACATATTACCTGTGCCTTTCCTGATAACCAAGCTCGAGCATTGTCAGTTCTCTCAAAGTAATCAAGTTGACCATGGTAATATATACACATGAAAACCTTTGGATTTAAATAGGTAGGCCAACTCAACAGTATCTTTGGTGCTAAAACAGTACACAATACCACAAACATTTAAGAAATTTTCTTGAACATGCTTGCATGACTACATCTTCTTTGGTATGTGGACCACTTTCGTTGAGTACTCTGAAAACCCAATTGCCCCTATTACAGGTTGATTGAAGAATGACAGGTTGATCCAAGCCTAGTTTCTCCACAATTCTCTGCTTTGTTTGGTTTGTTGCAGTTCCTGTAAACGCCACAGTGGGTCGGTTAAACTGCTTAAGTGTACTGAGCTGAGCATATGATGGTCTAAAGCTTTGTCCCCATGTGCAACCAGTGTGCTTCGTCAATTACAAACTGCAATAATGTTTTGTTTTCTGACATTGCTTGAAAACATGCTGTAGCGGGTGGAGACATGGCAAACTCTGGTGTCAAGTAAAAAAATTGTATGGTGATTCTCTGTCAGTTCATGAAATATAATGTCCCGTTCCTCAGGGGTCATACTCGAGTTGACACAACAGACATTTATCCCATAGCTTCGTAATTTTGAAACATGATCATTTATTAGTGCCATCAAAGGTGTAATTACGACAGTAATGCCTGTGCTTGACAGACCTGGAATCCAATAACACATTGATTACCTCCCCCTGTTGGTATAACTGCTAAGGCATCTTTATTTGTTGTAACTACATCTATCACTCTCCTTTGTATACCACGAAAGTTTTCATGCTGGAAAATGTTTCTAAGTATGTCAAGGTGGACGTCACCAGATGGCTGTGGAATATTATTTTCGGTTGTCATCACATCACTTAACGACACAATATTTGCAATTGGTGTACTAGGCATATGTGATCTATGCAGTGGCGTAACGTTATATCAGGGGGCCCCCGGTTCAAAATTTTCGAAGGCCCCCCTAGTAGAAGTGCCAAAGGCACGAGTCGAGCGCCGTATATGCACAAATTTTCTAGGGGGTCCAGGGCATGCTCATCCGGAAAATTTTTGAATTTACACTCTCTGAAATGCCATTTCCTGGACTTTGGGGAGAGATTTTACAGAATTCTGATGGTCATAAAACTACATTGTAACATATCAGAGGCCCTGACCAATGTTTTTGCTCTATTGCCTAAGCCTGGGGGCCCCCATTTAGGTTGGGGCCCCCGGGTTCTCACGGTCTGAGCCCATAGTAGTTACGCCACTGGATCTATGGTCCTATAAGACAAAAATAAATTACTAACCAAATAATATTTTATCAATTAAATTAAATTATGGGCATTTAATTGGCTAATTATGATCTCTGATACTCAATAAAAATTTCCATTTTTCATCTTCCAGTGGTACAATGGAGCTCATTCAAGTCAAAATTATGCACTATTAAAAATGTTTTTGGACATTTAACTGATCAGTATATGGATTTCCCATAAAAAATATGACAGTATCACAGAATACCAGTTTTTGTATTTCTCTTATAAAATTTGAAGGAACCATGCTATATACTTTTTAGTGAATATATTAGTTTTAGTCTCAATGGTCATATAAAAATAAAAAATGGATATTTTCATAAAATTCTTAAAAATAATTGGGATAAACAACAAATAAAATTCCTTATTTTTGTTCCTTTTTTTCTGCGTAATGGCCGTGAAATCAGAAAGTTTGAAAATAAGTTCGCAAACCAACATGATTTACATTCATCAACAGTTTTTCTAAGCAATACAACATTTTTACTATTCAGAAATCTCACTGAGTAATCAAATTTACTATAAAAAACTCAATTTTTCAAAATTTTTGGTAAACCTAATATACTGTGGTACATACCACCGGTATTCTGTAGTAATTTTAGTATTTACCTTCCACTAAATTAAGTTAGCAAATTAACATGACACACCAAATCCTTGTACAATTTGATAAACCATTCCTTATTTATTGCTGCACTGGTATTCTGTGGTACATTAGGATTTTATCCAGAGAATGTCCGATTTAAAAAATAATAGAATCTGCCAAATCTAACCCCAAGACCCCACAGGAAGAAAAAAATAATGAAAAACTATGCTAAAAAATATTTAACAGGCTATATTATATGCATTTGACACAAGATATGGAACATGTAAATTTGTGTGGTATTCTGTGGTACATACACCTGTAGATGTTTTTTCAAAACAAATTAATTGGGTTTTATATGCCCTCATATCCATATTCATATTGTTCAATGTGTAATTTTATAGCATTTTTAGACAACAAACATCACCTGATATACTGTTAGATCCTAAAACTAATTTAGGCAAGCACTTGCATGGATACAAGTGTGGAAAACTATGAGTGGCACCAATGTAAAAGTCCAAGACATACTGACAAATTATGTGACAACTTCCCAAATTCTACTGTTAATAATTATATAATTTGTAACAAAGACTTACTCATTTAACAAAAAATGATTCTATCTGAAAAGACACACCACCATCACTTTGTTTTTTAATGTACCAGCCATGGAATTTTGCTTGTAACCCAGAGCATAGGTGTACCGGGTGGGGGGGGGGGCGGTAGCCCCCCCAGTTTCTTGGGCAGTCGGGCAATATTCGATTAAGAGTCGGGCAATTTTGGTTTGTTATAAAAATAAATCGGACAAATTCTGTAAATTTTTTCGAAAATTTAGTTAATTTTGTGGCCAATGTAGTGTTTTTTTGGAAAATGTATGTGATGCCCCGAAAAATTTTGGTATGTCCGGAAAAATTTTTTGACCCCTTAAATGGTACACTGACCGAAATTTTTTTGGCGACAGGGGGGGGTTCGCCAAAATAGATTTTTCCGGGAAAAAATTTTTGGTACTAGTCGGGGCAAAATCACAAAAAGTCGGGCAATTTTACAAAAAGTCGGGCAATTTTCTTTCCGCCCCCCTAATTTTTTCCTTCCGGTACGCCCATGACCCAGAGCTTTTAACCACAACATCACACGATTTATTTCCTTTGCTGTAGGAATTAAGGTCTCCACCATAGTACAATAGCAAGCAAATAAATCGGACAGCTTCACGCTCGTTTGGTTTCAGCGCACTCCATGTTGCATCCACAAGCAGTTACGGTTACATCTTTGTAACTTTCTTTCTATATAAATATATTATTAAAAATAAAATTGGAAATATTTATAACGGCGTATGATATACTTTATAATTTCAATATATTAATAAAACGAAGAGAGTATGAAACAAAACAATTTATACAGATAGAGGTACATACCTTTGTTCTACGATACTCAAATATCTTATTCATGCATTCCCGTGTTTCTTGTTCGTGTAACATCTTGCAAATACGAATGAATTCGACTCTTGCTTCACTTGTAAATTCTTGCTTATGCCTTATTCGGAGATGATGACAAATACCATTTTCAAGAAAAAAATCCCTTCTACTAATACATTCCTCATTTGGACATAAAACCTTTCCCATGCATACATTTCTGTGAATCAGTCTTTCAAATTCAGAAAGAATCTGCGCAATTTCCTCATTTGCATTTATGAATAATAAATCGTCCGCCATGCTGTATGCAAATTCTGCCAGGCGCCTCCTTCCCTTCGTCCTGCCCAAGTGCCCCCACGCGCTCGCTATCTTAGCCACTGATCTATATAAAAACACTGTAGTGTTGCTATTTTTAGTACGTTATTTGAGCCTGGGTATGAGGCTGATTTTGTTCCATCATTGTTCATGAAAGGCTGGGTGTATCCAGCTTCAACCATTTGAAGTCTCTGGTGGAAAGTTAAGAAGTCAATTAAACTGAGTCCCACTTATGGACAAATAACTTTTAGTTGTTATTACTGATAGTATTTAATTTTGGTGGAGAAAATGCATGAAGTCATAAATGACAGAGCTAAGTCAGCTGGCTATCATAATTCATGACAGATTATGTATTAATTTCACATTTTTCATGCAGACATTTTTCAGGCACATTTTCAAATAATATTTGTGATCCAAGCCACACAAAAATGTTATTGACCCAGGGGTACATGTAAAGTACACATGCATGTACATGTAAATGAACATGAAGTAAATACAGTATGTATTTGATGCTTTTCCTATGTACCTTTTAGTTTTGTTATGAGAATTCCCAACAAAGAACTTTACAAGCTCACCTAAATATATGTGAAACTAGAGGGCACTCAGAGACTGCATACCTCCGCCCCCATTGAATTTCGATAATGAAGATAATGAAGGCTGGAGCTTAATGAGGTTTATCATCTCATTATTATATTCTTAGTACTGCGTGCATACATTATACACGTCCTCATTTGCATTGAGTTTTTTTTAATTGACCGGGAAAAGCAAGACAAAATTTTGTTCATTTCTCGTTCATTTTTTAACCAAATTCAACCAAATTTTAATCAGTTCTTCCTTAGCCGATGGGAAATGCATTAAAAAAATTTCGTATGAATATGTTGGTATTTCTTGAGTTATCGTGCTCACAGACAAACACACACACACACACACATACAAATCCAGATGATTACATAACCTCCTGGCGGAGATAATTATTCAAGACACCAAAATAGCTCTTCAGTAAGAGAATGCCTTTCAACAACATACGAGATAAACAGGAAAAGCATTTTAGCCAATGTGAAAAATTTTGATGTTTGTCAATGTTTTCCACAGGATATAATGCATGTATTGTTCGAGGGAGTAGTGCCTTATGAGACCAAGCTTTTGCTTAGGATTCTCATTGATGACAAAAAGTTCCTATCAATTAATGACCTCAACCAAATACTGGATAGTTTTGACTATGGCTACATGGACAGCAAGACCAAACCAACACCGATTGGCAGAGAAAGTATTAATAGTTCTGAAGCTTAAACAAAGTAGTATGTTAGTAGAAATAGTACAAATTCAAAGCACCATGATGGACAATATCCCAAACATTTTAACAGTTTAACACATGGCAGAGTGTATGATTGCCATTTGAGTGAAACCATCCTGCAGTACACAGCCTTGACAATTTGTTCAGACAAATAAGTGACTATTTAACCATTTGTTCAGACAATTTAGCAAGTAAATATGCCAGTATGGCCCCTTATGTTTCAATCAATGTAACAATTAGACATACGTCACTGAATAAAGGTCAAATGCTTGAAAATTAAAAGTCCCTTGTTTTGAAATCAACATTTTTGTTCTGTTGTTTCTTTTCTAATTAGCTTCACAAATGTGGTGCTTTTTCGATTTTAATAATGATGAATGAGCCAATAATGATTGGAGATATGGTAGAAAAGGAATCTGAAACAATGGTGCTTTTTCTTCAGCTGTGGAACATTGTCCAAATTTGTACTGCTCCAGCAATAAGAAAAGAGGATGTGCCCTATTTGAAGATTCTCATTGAGGAGCACCATAAACTTTTCAAAGAGGTTTATCCATTAGCTTCAATCATACCAAAGTTGTATTATTTGGTCCATGTCCCTGATGACATTGTTAGCTGGTACTTAAGCACACGTAATACATTGTAATTACACATCAAAGTACATGTTTATAAAACCCATTAAGTCACGTTGCACCCTAATAGACCCGGTTTTGCTAGTCAAGGGGAGAGCACTAGTTTTAGTGGGTTAATCTGCCCATGTGCCTAGTTACAGGAACCAATTGAGTTGTATTGACCCCATCCCCAATGCACCTTATTTTAGCATTTTACTCTGTCATTACCAAACAATTTCACTTGTACAGGGGAGAATCGTGGCACTCAATGAGTTAAGTAAACAAAGCCAGCTGTAGCCTAGCTGCATGGCATTTACAATGGTTGATTGCATAACACTCAAATATTTCTTAATTATTTTTATGGATTTGGTCCACCCAGAAACTACTAGTCAATGAGATTCGAAGCAAAGCATTCTTTCTTTAAACGTGCTCTTACAAAAAATTTCAAGAATGTTTGTAAATCATTAGCATTCTGCCACCAAAGGTGTATAATCAATGTAATTCAGCATTACGATTGTATTCAAAGTGATTGATGCTCAGGTATATTCTACTTTGGCCGGGTAAAAGTGTGAACGTGCTATATTTGGCTTTGCACAATAATGGGTAACTACTGAACCAGTTCAGCTGTAATAAACTCTGTCTGTCACATTCCTCACAATATTACTCATCTAGGAGGTGGGGTAGACTGTAAAGCTGAACTCTGACAGAAAACAATGGTCACATTGGTATAAATATTTAATGTAGCAATCAGCCCAAGGCATAGATGTACTATATAGTACAATTATAAATATTGATTTTTTTATCAATTGATAGATTTTTCTGCTGGAACCTGTTGAAGTCACCAGGGCAAATATTCACCAATCATCTTTATGAGGGGGATGCAATCCCTTCAGGCAAGTTTATTAAAATTTTAAACTTTCCTGTTATTATCTATACAGTACAGTACCGGTAAAAGTACAGTTTAAGCACATATACACTTGCAATACAGTACGGTAAACAAAACATTTCAAGCCACCAATTACTGTTTACTCTTGCATATTTGGCACACCATTAAATCTGCATGCAATGACCCACAGACTTTTTAGTAAAATTATTTCTATAATTGTATGCAATAAATTTTTCTTAATTTTACACTTCTTAGGAAATCACAATGTAGATCTCAAGCAATATCCATTACTAAATATGCTTCAAGAAGCAGCTAACTTGCCAGAGACAGAAGCACCAATAATTGGAAGCAGGTATCAATTTATAAATTCTATAATATCTTTTACAGTAGGCAGGCCTTACCCTAAGAAAATTTTGCAGGAGCAGTTAATCGCGCACGCAAAATATGTTGCCCGCCCTACTGTGAAAATATTTTGTGAGGCCCCCCTCATATCTAGAAATGACACAATTTGCAAATAATCTTGTTGATTTACAAATTAAAACACTAATTGCCTACTATGTTAATATCCTTGTTGAAGATGTACATGCATTAGGCAATAAATCTAGCATTTACATACTTACTTTGTGTATAATGAAATAATTAAACATATTTGCACTTAGATTTAAACCTATAAGAAGGAATATGCCTGATGGACCCTATTTTATTATCTCACTCTGCCAATGCCAGGAGATTTTACTTGTCAAGGGGAGAGTGCCGCCACTCAATGGGTTAAATACATTGTTGTGCCTTTTATTTTTATTCACTAGTGTAAAATCTGTCTCAATTCATGGGGTGGAGTACAGACTCGGATGTGTCTTAAGGCTACAAGAGATGGATGAGTTTGGTGCAAGAGACTACCCTGAATATGGTGTTTTGAACGAAGTAACTGTATGGAATGACGCCAAATATTTTGTTATCACTGTCTTCAGGGCCTTTTTTAAGGATTTTCCCGTGGGGGGGGGGCATTTTTTTTTGAAAAGGGACCTTTCTGTGAGATAATATATTAGAGGGGCGATACCAATGGCTGAAGGCCACATGTATGACCAATATACCACGCATGAATGGGGGGTCTGGAGGTGTACTCCCCCAGAAAATGTTTGAAATTTGAATCCCGGAAATGTCATTTCCTGAATTCTGAGCATCCAAATCTGCTCCAAAATTTATGCTAACTATACTTGTGTTTGAAATAAATAAAGGAAAAAACGCACAAAAAGTAAAAAAAAAATTAACTTTCATTTATCATTACTTATTAGAGGAGGATAGCAATGGCCACGTGTGTGGGGGTGTTCTCCCCCAGAAAAGTTTGGAAATTTGAAGCACGGAAATGCCATTTCCTGCATTTTGAGCATCCAAATTTACTCTAAAATTTAGGCTAACTATACCTGTATTTGAAATAAAAGAAGGAAAAATGCACAAAAAGTAAAAAAAAGAAAATTAACCGTAATTTATCATTACTTATTAGAGGGAGATAGGAATGGCTAAGGGCCACGTGTGTGGGGCATATTCCCCAGAAAATGTTTGACATTTGAAACCCGGAAATGCCATTTCCTGCATTCTGAACATCCAAAAAATAAAAAAATTATTTACAATAATTTATCATTACTTAGTGGTAGAAAAACGTAACAATTTAAATCGATTTTGTTAAACAAGGACAAAGGATAAAGCCTAAAACTTACTTTCCGTTTATCTATTTGTCGCTGGTTTGTTTGTATAATTTTAGGGCAAAATGTGATTTCGTGGGGGGATGGGGGCACAACGGGGGATTGGGGGGCATTTGCCCCCCCCCCCAGCTTGTATGTTAAAAAAGGCCCTGGCTGTCCTACAAACAGTATTATTTTGGAATCACTATATGGGTTATGAAGTGCAACCAACAGATGAGAAAAGAGTGTTTGTACCAAATGAGCTTGCATGGCATGGGGTTTTAAATCTCATAAAAAAGAAGGAAAAGCCTTTGTTGTCGAAAAGAATTCTGCCAACATCGAGGAACGATTGTAATCTTGGAACCAGTGCACGATTTCAATGACAATTAAGACGGCCTGCTCAAATGATTTTGAAAGATTACATGGAGAGTTTCATGGGTTACCATGCATGTGCATGTAATAAATTTTTGTTGTTTGTTGTACAGGCTGGTCAGGATAATTAGGGAAACTAAGGTAATTTGAATAAGGCCCCGTTTACATGAGACCAGAACGAATTAAATCAAACCGGGACCAATTTGTTTCGGTCATAGTATTAATACTTACAATAGATATTTACATGAGACCGGAAAGAAAATAATTCAGACCTCTGATTCCGCCTGCTGGACCGAGCCGACTGACTTCAGACCGGCATGAATTCAGACTGGGATGAACGCCTGTATGGAATGAGACTTTTTTGTGCGCCGGACATGTGCACCAAATACTAGTAAATGTATTGCTGTAGAGCTGGTTGTCATATCCGGCGAACAGCGCTTAAGCCTGGTTCACACTGGTCGCAATAGTCGGAAGAATCGTTATTTTTGAGCATCACTGATAGTCCCAGTGTTTTAGCGAGAAGTGAGAACATACTCACAACGATATCCCAAACAGTCGGCAATAATATCGCGGATGTCGGGCGAATCGGAATGGTTTCTATTTTGTAGGATATCCCCGGCAATCTACGACAATCCGGGATTGATTATGACACGTTTGGACAAGTGTGAACATGAAATCCGACACGTGTGATTATTGCGTAAATTCAAAATGGCGGACTACCTAGAATCACTTGCAGTTAAATCATCAAATGGTGATGGTACCGCTTTCATGGAAATAGTGAAAGAGTTCCCATGTATATATAACAGAAGTAACACCCAATTTAAAGATAAAAATTTGAAAAGTAATGCGTGGAAACAGATTGCAACGTTGCATGAAGGGGAAGGAGTGAGTGTCGTCTGTGTCGATTCGTGCAAACAAAGATACGAAAGTATTCGCACTACTTTTTCGCGTTATCTGAAAAAGTGTAAACCACCTTCAGGGTCAGGCAGTGATATGGTAGTGCTGGAACCCAAATATGAGCATTTACGCTGGCTGACATCGTTTATCAAGTCACGCTCGACTTCTTCAAATATAAAACTCAATGCTGTGCAGATAAATGATGCAAGTCATGCATTCATTGAAGAGGAAAGCGAGCAATTGGGTTTATTTGATGATATCGATGATGAAATTACTGGGGAAGCCTCTCACAGGCATGTTTATTTAAACATTTAAGAACGTTAAGTATTTAATATATGGTTTGAGGTTGGTATAAATTGAATTCCTCTTCACAATATAGAAAATAAAAAAATACAGGTAATATATAATATTATAATTATATACAGCTATACCGTAAACCTCCGACTATAAGCCCCCCACCCCGAATATAAGTCCCCCCCCAATATAAGCCCACCACATGTACTAACGCTCACCTCATTTGATTCCAAATATAAGGCCCCCCGAATATAAGCCCAGTAGCCCACTATGTTATTCAACATTGACATTGTCTTTTAATATAGCAGAGAACAATATTTAAAAACATTGTCATTTTCTTTATAGCTTAGTATGTTAATCAAAGTGCATTATTAAAACATGTTTATTTTCCTGTTTATGACTGATTTGTTTATGTCTGACTTATTTATTACTAACACAAAAGATTGTCCATGTATTACCCCCCATATATAAGCCACCCCCTTGTATAAGCCCATCAAAAATTGGTTACGAAAGTATATAAGCCCAGGGCTTATAGTCGGAGGTTTACAGTATTAAAAATACTAATTTCATTATCATTACACAATAATGATTTAAAATGTTCACTTCATATATACTGTACCGTTACTTGACAGTTGGCAGGGACTGTCCTGCTTCCCCTATTTGTATGACCGAGAAAGCCTTGATTGGCTAGTTTTGACTTTTGAGAATATTCCCAGCAAACAAGATGAATATATAATGACCATTTGCACCCAATTTCTCTGAAAATTGATGTCACAGCATACTGCACAATCATGTATCATCATATGTAATCAAAATGTTTATCATTCAATCCCATTTTTATCAAACCAATCATATAGTTACAGTCCAATTACGTGTTTAGTTGCAAGCAATATTATAATATTGTCACAATATATTTGCGAGATTGTTATTAAACAAACTGCAAATTGAATTGGCAACCAGATTTGTAAACAAATATGAGGAACTGTCCCATCTTTGTTTACAAATCTGGTTTACAAAAATTGTGTGTTGCAACAGAGCATCAGAATTAACTGTAACTAATTTTTACTTCACTAAATTTATTTTAGTGTATCCGCTGCAAATGTTTTAACTGCTACGAGTGTAGAGGGGCCAAATCCCGGTAGTGCTAAGAAAGCACGGAAATCCCCAGCTGATGGGAAAAAAACATGGTCAAAAGAGCACAAAGAACCAGATGCAAATCTAGAACTGTGCAAAGTAATGCACAGCTTCCAGAAGTCACTTGAGGCCTCATGCAAAATGCCAGATGAAAATGTAGCCATGTCAGCTGATGCTCATTGTTGTTTAAGTTTGGCTGATAGAATGAGCAACTTGGATGAGAGAATGAAGGTTTATGTTAGACATTGTATAGAAAAGATTTTTTTCGACTTGGAATTTGGGGGTGTTATAAAATCTGTTTCAACTCTGACAGAAAATTTGAACTGATTTACATTTATTAACAGTTGGTTAGTTAACGTTGCCAATATAACATGTTATAGCCTACAGGTTCACATATATCTAAAGCATGCAGAAGTGATATTTGTTAAATTTAGTTACATTTGTAACAGATCTTTTTAAATGTGTTATACAAAGTATTTATTAAATTGACGTTTTTAGTAGTTTATTTTTTTGTATATAGCAGTTGCAAAATCTTCCCCGAAGCTCCTAACATGTTTTAATTGCCATGAAACTGCACCTTCTTTGCTGTTAAAATATTTCTCGAATCTTTCCCTTGTCACCTTTGCATCACTGCCATATTTATTCACTCTTTGCTGAAGTGGAGTCATCCCACTTGCATTATTTTCAACAATTGCACGCCAATTTCCAGGAAGAATTTCACCTTTGCCATCTTCAGTATCAACAAAGCCTTGTGGAATATAGTGGGCATTATCAGTTAATCTTAAATAGTTGTGTAAACAAATACAGGCTTTTACAATACTGTCAACATTACATGGTTTGGCTTTGATTGGTCGACGAAATATTCTCCAGAGTGCAGATAATATGCCGAATGCATTTTCAATAACTTGTCTACATCTGCTAAGTCGATAGTTAAATACCTTTTGGGACTCAGTTAAACCATTTCCTGGATATGGTTTCATGAGGTAGGTTTTTAGACCAAAAATTTCATCAGATACAATGACATAAGGTAGTTCTTCAGAGTCGCCCACTTTTTCTGCTTCTGGGATGTTGAATGTGCCTGTAGCAAAGCCTTTTCCAATAACCGAGTGATTGTATATATTAGCATCATTGTCTTTACCAAAGCAACCAATATCTACCATAGTAAAGCAGTATTTTGCATCACAGAGGGCTAAAAGAACAATACTGTGAAATCCTTTGTAATTAAAAAAGTCAGACCCTCTTCTGGCAGGACACTCTATCATTATATGCTTCCCATTGAGAGCCCCAAGACAATGAGGGAAGTTCCATTCCTGATAGAACTCGTTAGATATTTTCCTTCAGTCACACGATTTTTCAGGAGCTTTCATATATGTAGCACTCAGAGCATCCCATATTCCATTGCATGTGCTTTTTATTATTTCACAAACAGTACTTCGTCCCACCCTGAAGTTAAACGATTGTGACTGCTGCGAATCACCACTAGCTAAATATCTTAAAGTTATTACCAATCTTTCTGATGGGCTAATGGTTTCGCGAAGATGGGTATTTTGCTTTTCAATATGTGGGCCAACCAATGATAACAAGTGGTCGAACCTTTCTGGAGTCATTCTAAGATATCTAAAATAAGAATTAAAAGGTAGTGCTATTGTGGTACTTATACATATATAAACAAAAAAAACACAAAGGTACTTTATAAGTATAGGTAATCATGCGAGCAACATCGCATGATTACTTGTTTATTATTAGCATGACAAAATTGGATACGTACTTCTCAATGTCAACATCATATTCTCTTGCCAAAGCCCAGTCCTGCCAGACTTTCAACCAAAATTTGCTGCTTTTGTTCGTATTTTCACCTAGTTCCTCAAGGGCAATTTCAGTTCACGTTTGTGTTTATAATACCTTTCCGCCATTTTGTTTCTTTTCAGAAAATCATTAATTGCACTGCAGTACAATTAATGATGGTAATAGAACGAATAGGAGTGCTATTAATGCCATAATCATACGAGTGATTACAAAATCAACCGACCGCGTAGCGGGAGGTTGATTTGTTAATCACGAGTATGATTATGGCATTAATAGCACGACTTTAATTCGTTCTATTACTTATTAACTAGAAAATACATGCATGCAGAAACCCTCGCCTTGCTGACAAAACCGTTGTATTTTCCGAACATGAAGTATCTAAAGTAGTTGTCATGGTAACACGATTTTTTTTTAAGAATATTCTTACAAATGAAAATCGCCTAAAAATATCACTTTTAATTACAAAATTATCAATTTCCCAAGATATATATGTTAGGTATGTAATTATACGTAATACAAGCTTCAATTTAAGGTAAAATTCAACCACAAACAATTCACAAAACGTTTTAAAGTGTTCTTTATAAAACTAAACTGCCTTTAACTATTAAAAGGCTTTATCGATAAACTTTGAGTTTGCAATAAAATGATTTCAAATTCTCGCTTGCAAATAACTTTGCTTTATTTTTTATTTAAAAAATTCAATATAATGAAAAAGGGAATCAATGTTAAAGATACACTGAAATTATATGCTGTTGTGTTTAGTTGTTTCATATACGCAAAGGCCATCGGATTTTAAATCCATTATAAAATCAATATTTAAAACAAACTTACCTTCGTTAACGTCGGCTCGCTTCTTTTAGCTGATTCTTTCACCCTTTCTTTCTTGAAATTTACAAAATCTTGCAGAAATACGAGCAAAAATGAAGAATATTTGCAAGAAATTTATCAATCATCAACTCATCAAATCAAGAAATGTTTGCTATTTCGCTGTCGTCATGCAGCCGTTATAATGCAAACTTTAAATTGGACCAATCAGTGTCCGTTATTCATGACAGTCCGCCATATTTTTGAGATCAGTGAGGATGACCACCCATCGTTGGTGACCGACGCCCGCGCTCATTGATGAACTTTAGACTCCGCTAATGCTTTCGTTTCCCCGGGTGTAAATAGCCGGGGGGAATTAGTACCCTCGCACGGCGCTTTGCGCCGCCGGCTCGGGGATTATTTATCTTCTGTAATCAAACTGTTTAAGGGGGAAAAGCAGAAATATACAATTTGTTGAAGTTCAATATAATTATTAAATTTTTGTCACGACAATTCTTAGTGAAATAGTACAATTATGAATTATTGTTTATCATATATAATAAAATTAACATATTATTAACGACTTCCGGGCATTATTTCCGGTATAATCACATGACAACATTTGTTTGAATTATTCAACACACAATTGGGAAGCCATGTTTGTATGTTTATAACGTGTTCAAAATAGTGAAGTTTTTAATTCAATTAATCATCTGAATTGGATGGAAATATAACTCCTGGTTGTGTTTAGTTCGGTGTCTTCTGCTGGATGAACAGGTAGGTCATTTTCGTCAGAAAATATATAATTTAACAACCCTCGAAAACGAGATCTGCATTCGGCAGATCCGACCTACAGTAAATGCCGACCTATCAACCTCCCATGTCGGCAATGTTTTGCCCACCTTAATTCAGCCAAAGTAATAATCTTTTTTGGTGCTTATAGCTGTTAAAAAGTCAGCGATTATAGAATTCGATGTACTTTGGTGTAAGGTTTAAGAATTAACGGGTATATTTATGATATAATTTAGGTAAAACTCTAAAAGAAAAGGCTTCGTGACATTTATACTTTTCAATGATTCGTAAATACGTGATTACTAGTGCAGGCTGCTAGTGCTCCAAGACATGGAAACAGATTTTAAAAAATGCCGAGATGCACCGAGCTAGGTCAGGTTTAGGTCGGCATTTTTTTTCCGACCTCAATTTTGACGGTTTTCGAGGGCTGATTTAAAAATTAAAAGGTCAAAATTTGTGAATTCCTCCATTTTGAATTTTTTTACAGCAATAAAGAAAATAAAATTCAAAGTTTGTATCCTGAATGCTGATTGGCTAGTTGTAAATACTAGACTGATTTTCATTGGCTGTAGACAAGAGTGCGATTACAGCTCAGAAAAGGTGCGATTAATGCTCAAATCGCACTCCTGTCAACCAATGAAATTGCAGTATTTGCCACTGATTACAGAAGATAAATAATTAATGATGGTAATAGAATGAATAGGAGTGCTATTAATGCCATAATCATACGAGTGATTACAAAATCAACCGACCGCGTAGCGGGAGGTTGATTTGTTAATCACGAGTATGATTATGGCATTAATAGTACGACTTTAATTCGTTCTATTACTTATTAATTATTTATCTTCTGTAATCAAACTGTTTAAGGGGGAAAAGCAGAAAAATACAATTTGTTGAAGTTCAATATAATTATTAAATTTTTGTCACGACAATTCTTAGTGAAATAGTACAATTTTGAATTATTGTTTATCATATATAATCAAATTAACATATTATTAACTTCCGGGCATTATATCCGGTATAATCACATGACAACATTTGTTTGAATTATTCAACACACAATTGGGAAGCCATGTTTGTATGTTTATAACGTGTTCAAAATAGTGAAGTTCTTTAGTCCAATTAATCATCTGAATTGGATAGAAATATAACTCCTGGTTATGTTTAGTTCAGTGTCTTCTGCTGGATGAACAGATAGGTCATTTTCGTCAGAAAATATATAATTTAACAACCCTCGAAAACGAGATCGGCATTCGGCAATGCCGACCTACAGTATTAAAATGCCTATGTTTTGCCGACCTTAATTCAGCCAAAGTAATAATCTTTTTTGGTGCTTATAGCTGTTAAAAAGTCAGCGATTATAGAATTCGATGCACTTTCGTGTAAGGTTTGAGAATTAACGGGTATATTTATGATATAATTTCGGAAAAACTCTAAAAGAAAAGGCTTCGTGACATTTATACTTTTCAATGATTCATAAATACGTGATTACTAGTGCAGGCTACTAGTGCTCCAAGACATGGAAACAAATTTTAAAAAATGCCGAGATGTGCCGAGCTAGGTCAGATTTAGGTCGACATTTTTTTTCCGACCTCAATTTTGACGGTTTTCGAGGGCTGATTTAAAAATTAAAAGGTCAAAATTTGTGAATTCCTCCATTTTGAATTTTTTTACAGCAATAAAAAAAATAAAATTCAAAGTTTGTATCCTGAATGCTGATTGGCTAGTTGTAACTACTAGACTGATTTTCATTGGCTGTAGACAAGAGTGCGATTACAGCTCAGAAAAGGTGCGATTAATGCTCAAATCGCACTCCTGTAAACCAATGAAATTGCAGTACTTGCCACTGATTACAGAAGATAAATAATTAATGAAATAATTGTACTCCCCTCAACCAATCAGCATCCAGTAATTTTGTCATGCTAATAATAAGTAAACAAATACACGGAATTATGCAGTTTACCTGAAGAAATATTCTCGGTCGGAATTTCTAAGTTCGCGAAAGAGTATGAAATTGTCCAAATTCCTTTCGTTTCTGCAAGTGTGGGCGTACCCATGCTCACGATCAGAAATATTATGCACTTCTCGCTCAGGCTGAACAGTATCAATCGTAGGATAGGCTATCTTTCTGTCCAACATTTTCTTTGTTTGAAAGGAGTTGTCTGTGTCTAACTGGTTAACAGTGATATCTGGACGCTGGAGGTAGAAATGCACCTCAAAATGAGCCGAGCATAATGCCGAATATGGCGATGGCTGCCAGTTAGGTCGATGTCATTGGACAAACTTTATCCACAAATTTCGCAGAGTTCCTTCAGTCTTAGGGAATCCATGCATGGATATTCCTTGGACGGTGGAGTTATTCTTACAACTGATATTACCAGGTCCACCAGCAACGCAATATTTCCCCAACTGTTTCTTACTTTTTGTACCGCAAGCTCCTTCACGCTTGTCTATAGCTGCCATGTTTGCTAGAACGAACCAGTGACGTCACACACGTCTAACCAGTGACGTCACACATGAAATGTGACCGCGCGTCTAACACGGACGTATAATTGTCAAAAAATGCCACTTTCAGAGTCAAAATAAGGCACTTTCTATATCGCTACGTCAAAAACGGATTAGCTCACAATATTCAGCATAAAAAACTCTATCAGAATATCCCCAAAAAAGGGATCCGAAAATTTCGTTTCATAAACACTTTAAAAGATGCGATATTTGAGTGGAAATTAAGAAAGCAAAATAGCGCGGGATTATTGTATTCGTAAATGACAAAGAGTGACGAAACAAAACACAAGTGTCAAAAATATCTCTATTGCCCCTATTGACAAGGGTTTCACACACATAAATAACTCATTAAAATAAACAGTTTAAGTTTATAAGGCAATCATCAAAGTGATTTTATTAAATAGAAAATAAGAAAACAAAATTTTCTTATATGTATGGAATTAAATTGGCTAAAAACTGCAGTTAAAAAGCAGTTTTATCGGTCGGTCAGGAAAACGGACTAAAATAAGCTATTAAATAATGGTGTGAAAACTGAAAAGCACCACAGAAACAAGAAAGCAAAAAACCAAAGCAAAAATAAATTCCTATTTATAAAAATACAGATCTATTCAAAAAAACAAAAAAGTTTAAAATTAATTGTTGAATTCGCAACGAAAAATACAGATTTACTCATGCAGTGGGAAAATGCAGCAGGCAGATCGATTAAATGAAGGAAATCAGATTTACATAAAATAAATGAAGTTTATTTCCTTTTTTGCTCTTTTAAAATGAAGAAAAACACAACCCGAGAGTCGCGGACCCATCACATCCCACCATGAAAATACAAAAAATGTTTGGCCGCGCGGGTAAGGAGACTAAGAATGACGCACAAGAATGCCTTCAAAATCCAAAATCTTCAAAATTGATTACGTCACTGACTGAAGTCAGCCTTCCATGTATATAATAGTTCACTGGGTATCACTTATTACGTCAGCAAGACGTGTCAAAATGGATGCCGACAAAAGAAAAAGGTCTCTTAGCGCGAAAAATTTGCTAGTGGAAAACCGGCTTAAAATAATTAGCGAACGATTCGTGTAAACAGTCAATTTGTTTGCAAGCCACGGCTAAAATAATCACAGAGTTGAAAGCTGGGCCTAAATAAGCCACAGCTTATTGCAAATTGACTGTTTATACGAGTTCTTCGCGACTTATTTAGGCCGCGACTTATTTTCGCTCGTATAAATGGCCCTAATACATTTGCAAGAAATGTTTGTTATTTTGGTGTCGTCATGCAGTCGTTATACAGGTAATGCAAATTTCAAATTTGACCAACAGTGTTCACTATTCACGACAATCCGCTACATATTTTGAGATCAGTGAGGATGACCACCCATGAACGGTGAACCATAGCCATGCGCCCACGATATTTGATGAACTTTAGACTTCGCCAGTGCGTTCCTTTCCCCGGGTGTAAATAGCCGGGCGGAATTAGTACCCTCGCCCGGGCGTTCGCCCGGAACGGCGATCCGCGCCGTTGGCTCGTGGATAAAGATTGATAACATTGAATCTGAACAGGAATAAATGACAGCGGAGTCCCTCAATGATCAACATTGGTCCTTTGCTGTTCATATTGTATGTAAATGACATGCCTGACTGTTCAAAAAAGCTTTCTTTTTCGAATATTTGCTGCCGATACGAATATATTTTATTCGCATATATCCATAGATAAAACTGAACGAGTAATGGATGATGAACTATATTATATATTATACAGTATTGTAGGATAATATAAATAAAATTTTGATAAACGACAACAAGACTAACTATATATGATAAATACATCAACAAAGAAGTAAATACGTCATAATTATAATGCTAAAGTAATATTAAAGAAAAATTGTGTATAAAGTATTTAGGTGTTTATATAGACAATATATTAAACTGGAAGTATCAAATAAAACATGTTCAATCAACAATCGCTAAAAAATTAGGTATTTTAAAAAACTAAGATATTAAAACCGACTTATAGATACTTAAAACAACTTTATTGTACTCTAATATAACGTTATCTTAATTATGGCTCAATGAGTTATTGATTTGGGGAATATACATACATGAATGAATGAATGATTTATTAATATTTCCAAATGGCAGGTACATTTAACCTGAAAAACTTGTAAATACAAAATGGTAAAAGTAGCCATACTATTTACAAGTTGAAAGGTTATAAAAGTTATATATATATAAAAATGTACTGACTTGAAGATTAATTTAGATTAAGCACATTAGTTTGAGTGGGTCTTCTCAATTGAATCCCATTTTTTGACACAATATGGGATAAAACTGTTTTTAAAACGTTCTGTTCTGCATTTAAAAAGTGGACACTTTCGAGGGTTCCTAAGATGATTTTTATGGTTAACAGGATCAGGAAGAAGTTCATGTAATTTGTTATCATGGTTTAAAACAGATTTATACAAAGACAAGCATTGTTTGCGTTCGTGGAGTGTAGATAATCGCGATTGATCGAGAGAAGCAGTATATGAGAGATGAGGGAACAATCTTTATCGCTCTTTTTTGAACATGTTCGATTTGATCAGATAATGTTGAGGAGAGTGAAGTATGCCAAACCTGGCATGCATATATTCCAATACCGGTCGGATAAAAGTACAGAAGATAGTTAATACGTCTGCAGCCGGGACACCATTTCGTTTCAAAATTCGAAGCGCATATAACCTTTTACTAGCTTTGGCACATATGTTATCAACATGAATATTCCATGTGAGGTCCCTTGAAATTGTTATTCCTAAAAGCCGGCGCACACTAGAGCTATGTGCTTAGCAAAATGTCATTCGTGACTGTTGGCGTAAGGAGATAGCTCTCGTGTGCGGGCGATTTACGAACGACTTTTGTCATTCGTGCCACTTACGCCAAATATCTAACATGTTTGATAATTTCTGCCTCGCGTGCCAAAATCTTTCCGTGTTCGGCGAACGAAAGCTATCTGCTTACGGATTGTCGTAACAGCGCATGCGTAGTATACGAAAGTAAACATCCAAGATGGCGGCGCAAAATGAATTGCTGGCCGAGGCAATTTTAGAGGACAAACTTACTGGTTATTTCTTTCACCGCACATTCCCTTTTGTCCCTATTTCTAAAATCTGCAGAACTCACATCGTATAAACATTTGTATTCAGGCCAAAGTTCGACAAGTTTGTCCTCTAAAATTGCCTCGGCCAGCAATTCATTTTGCGCCGCCATCTTGGATGTTTACTTTCGTATACTACGCATGCGCTGTTACGACAATCCGTAATCAGATAGCTTTCGTTCGCCGCACACGGAAAGATTTTGGCACGCGAGGCAGAAATTATCAAACATGTTAGATATTTGGCGTAAGTGGCACGAATGACAAAAGTCGTTCGTAAATCGCCCGCACACGAGAGCTATCTCCTTACGCCAACAGTCACGAATGACATTTTGCTAAGCACATATATAGCTCTAGTGTGCGCCGGCCTTTAGCAACATTCCGAGCGCTTCGAGTAAACGTCTACCGATTAATGGCGGTGAGTCGATTTTTCCTTCGATAATGAGCATAGTTGTAGAAGCAGTTCGTGTTGCATTTGACGTTTTAACATTTATTTCTCCGATTACCGATAATTCCTCTTTAAGAGCTTTAAGTTTGATCTTCGTATTTTTAATCTTCAGTTCCGCGGTGGTTGTTCTCGAAGATGCCAGATCCACTGTCCGGTTCAGCTACGATATTTATCCCGTTTATTTGGATTGTGCATATGTTTTCCATTTATCAGCGTTATCTTGGCTTGTGCATGGTGTGATTTGAGTATATCGTGTTCAGGTTTTCCAAAACAGACTCGCGCGTATAGTGATTTGCATTTTTCTTTCCGCAGTTATCAATACCAGGGCAAGTGGTGTGTTTCTTTGAATTCCCACAGCGTCCACATGCGTCATCTCTAGTTGCATGTCGTGTAGAGCCAGTTTCTATATTCATTCGTGCGCGGTTTCTTCGTTGATTTTCTTGTCAATAGCGTCAGCTTGCTCTGTGGTTTGCTCGTCGATAGCTGTCTCTGTTCAAGTAGGATTCTATCTAATGCCCAGTTTCCGCGTATAGCCTTGCTTCGAATTTTGTGATTGAGCATAGACCTTATTCATAAATCGTGACAAGGCCTCGTATCCTAGGATACGGGAACAAAACGCGGGAAAACAAGCGAAAATTGCTTGACAAGACAAATTCAGATGCTATTGTGTCGACTTTAACGGCTTGTTTCTTGTTGCTTTTTGCAATTTATAACGATTTTTGTGTGTATTTTAAGACTTTGTTCCCACAACGAAAGCGGTAAACGAGTATATTATAAAAGCGACCGGTTTTCAGTCCCGTTTTTGTGTGGAAAAAATGACAACGTAGCGATGGTGTTTATCCAGAAGCGAAAAACAGTATTTTACTGAGATTTTAACGTCAATATAAAGGTTATTCCGTGAAGAATCAAGACAACTATGGAATGAAAGTATAACTTTTCGAATTTGACATAAATATGAAAGAAAACAACAGTCAAAAATCACAAGAGAACGTCAAATGTTATTGATTCGTACGGAAAAATATGAACTAATGACTGTGGCTCGATAACATTCTGCAAGCAGCTTACAAGTTTAAAAAATAAAGGCTACATTACCTGAGTGAGTTGTAATCTTATTTCTTCAACAATTGTTTCATATTTCTTACGATTTTGGTGTTGTATAGACGTTTTGTAGCCTTGTTGGTTGTTTGTTTCAGCCATACAAACTACGACAATAATACAAAGTCAAAGGTTTCCTTTTTCGATTGACTCCAGCATCTTTTGCTTTAAATATCATGTTATATTATCTCAGAAGTATTTTTTTCAACTTTCAAGCTCAGTTTTATAGATATATTTTTGAAAAAAGCCGTAATATTCATGAAAAAAGGCTGCCATACCCGACCAGTGTAGCCG